TCAAAATATATGCGCATAGGGGTGGGGAGGAGGGCTAACGGTGGCCATCAATTAATAAAATCAGCTTTAAAAGTTTTTCTGATCAGAAGAGAGCTTTCGATATCTAGGTGAGCTTTTAATAATTTTATATTTTATGAAAGAACTTTTCTTTGGTTTGTTATTTTGAACTTCTGATATATTAAAGAGAACTTTTGAAGTATTTTGAAGAGCCTCGGTACAAAGGAAAACTTGTTAGTGTCTTACATTTTACAGAAGTATTTTCTTTTGGTGTTCAATTTAGTACTCATTGGTAGTGAGTAGACATTTGGCAAAAAAAGCACAATGCTAGTGCATATCCCGTTTTAACAACATCTCATCCTCCGGGAAGTGCGTAATCGAAAAGGAAGATGAAGAAATGTACAAACATTATTTTTTAACGTCCAGACTCAGAGATCTTCTGAATATTAAAGATTTCTTGAAAGCTACGGAATATCTTATCAGAAACTTTTGATTTTTTTATTCACATCTTTTCTTTGAACGTCATAAGTTGCCTATGTAGGGTACTCAAATATTTCTTAATGTCCATTTTTTTTATTTTTGTCTGAACTTTACAATTCAAACATTTCAAAAATTCTAGTAAAACAAGTTAATCATCTATGTATCTGTCTGTAACACCACGTGTATGTATGTATGTCACTAAAACATGGTAGCTAGAAACAGGGTTGGGTATTAATAGCTGTTGTTGTTGCTATTATTGCTGCTGCTGCCGTTGTTGCTATGCCTTGCCATGTTGTAAATACTAAATTAAATAATTATAAAGCTTGAAATTTAGATCCGGTTTATATTTTCTGTTTCTTAACTTCTGAAATGATTAATATGACTGAGTGGTTGGCTGGTACGAAGACAACATAAACGCCCGTACATCGTCATACACGAAGCTAAGAAATAGACAAGTTTTATTGGTGTTTTTTTTTGTCTTCAATTTTTAGCTATTTAGAAAAATGTCAAACCACTCTTCTTTTTGGCTGCTCAATGGCTTTAACAAAAATAAACTTTGACATTTGTTATTTCTCCTCCGAAATAAAAATATTATTTTCAAGATGTATGGCCTATTCCCGTTGATGGTAACGTGGTTAGGCTGCTCAGCTGAGATTTTAGGCATAGATTTATAAAGAAATATGTTTAGATTTTTTTTTTTTTTTTTTTTGAAAATATTGTGTTTGTATTGGTATGTGTGTCTAAATTTGCAGAGTGCGTCTTCTTGGCAATCCCACAATTATCATTTGAATGTGTAAAATTTATTTAAGTTGTACAATTGCTTGACATTTGTTATTTTAGAGATGAACAGTGATAAAATACGGGGATATTTTATACCAAAGCACACGCAAAAATATTCTAAATATATAAAAGAGCAGTGAAAAACTCACTAATCTAGGTTGAAGCTAGAATTTTGAAATTTTGCATGAGCGTCAGTCTTTGTACCTAGGCATGCGATAAGGCTGAGGTTTCGGTAATTCGTACTGAAAGGGTACGAAAATGTAGAATGATAGTCGCTGATGGATAGATGCAGCAACGGATTTTTAGAAATTCGAACTTTATGGTTACAAAAAGTTCTACAATGGTATTAAACATCTAAAATGGTACCATTTGGTATTATGTGAAAATATAGAGGTAAAAACTTGAAATTTGGTGTGAGAATCTAGGTTGGAAATGGAGTTTGATATATGAAAGTGGTTTTAGAAATGTATACTAAGTGTGAGAACTGCACCAGATGGTTCTAAATTTGAAATAGTTTAGGGTTAACGGATGATGCTAATGTTTTGTATTGAGGTCCCTGTTTGTGGTAGGTTTGTGATAAGAATGTGATTTTTGGAATATGTACTACAAATGCACGAAAAGTACTAAATAGTACTACATTTGGTAAAATTTGGTATTGGGTGAACAGAATGTGCTTGAAATCTGAAATTTGGCATGAGGGTCGCTGTTCATGTGTGGCCTGGACATATGGAGGTAGTTTCGGAAATGTGTACTATAATTGTACGAATAATACTGAAAGGTACCATATTTGGTATCGTGAGAAAGGGAATATTAACATTAATATTCTGAAATTGTATATATAGATTACTGATGGAATACATGTTTTAGATTTGGTGGCTATTTAAAAAGGAGTCCTATAATTGTACGAAAAGTACTATGTGGTACTGTAAATTTGGTGAAGTATAAGGCTGGAATCTGAAGATGGATATTGAAGTCTCTGTTGGTATCCGGAATTGAGATATTGAGGTTGTTTCGGAAATGTGTACTATAATTTTACAAAAGTACAAAATAGTACTAAATTTTTTATTTGGTGAAGGAATAGGGCTGAAACCGTGAAATTTTATAATGTGATAACTATTAGTGCCTAGGTTGAGATATGGAAAGGTTTTGCAAATAAGTACTAAAATTATACGAAAAGTACTAAATAGTACCAAATTCGGTATTGTGTGAAAGAATAGGGCTGGAGTCCTCAAATTTGATATTGAAGTCTGTGTTAGTATCTGGAAATGAGATATGGAGGTGATTTCCAAAATGTGTACTATAATTGTACAAGAAATGGTACTAAACTTGGTCTTGGTTGAAGGGATAGAGATAGAATTCCAAAATTTGGTATTTAGATTACAAATATGCGGTGGCATATTTGGTACCAAATGTTAGTATTGGATGTGGGGGTATCAAATTTTATATTGAGGTCTCTGTTGGAACCTAGAATTCAGAAATGGAGATGGTTTTGAAAATGTGTACTATAGTTATACGAAAAGTACTAAATTGTACTAAATTTGGTATTGTGTGAAGAATATAGCTAAAATCTATAAATTTTATATAGATGTCACTGTTGGCGTCTGTTGCTTAGATATGAAGGTGGTTTTGGAAAGGTGTACTATAATTGTTCCAAAAATACTCAATGTTATTAAATTTGGGTTAGGGCAGGAATGCCCAAATTTGGTATTGAGTTTTCCGTTGGTGTCTGGTGGTTATTTTGCAAATGCGTACTATAATTACTCGAATTTTTTTGTATTACTCTTGGTGTCTAGGATGGAGAGATGTAGATTGCCTTGGATATGAGTTGAAAATGTTACCAGATTTGGAATTAGATGAAGGGATAGAGCTGAAATTCTGAAATTTGATATTGTTGGTTTCTGGGAAATAATTTAAGATATTTTTGGACACAAAAATTTGATGTGGGTCCATTATGCACATATTTTAATATCCTCCTGATTAAAAAAATATTGTCAGACGGAATAAATTGTGCATTTTGAGAACCAAAAATTCTAAACACGAACTGTTGGAATGACATTACAATTTTAGGGTGGACTTTTCGTTGATGTTGTCGAGGGCACCATAGGATATGAATTGAGGGCATGTTTATAATTTTCTATAAAATGTCTATTTGAAATAACACTGTGCGCCAAATTAAATTTGTTCAATAATTTACGCCAATACCTATACGAATATATTCTAAGGATCGAATGTCCAATAAAAGTGGATTTTTGATATATAGTTTTCAGGAACCAAATGCCCAATAAAGGTGGATTTTTATAGAATATGTTTTTGGAGCAATAAACGACGTGTTTTCAAAGAATAATTTTTTAAAGACCAACAGATAAATAAACTTATATTTTTAGATCATTTTTTTTTCAAGAATCGAAGGACCAATGAACGGGGTATTTTAAAAGAATATTTTCCAAGGACCAAATGCCCAATAAACGTGGTTTTTTAAAGAATGTTTTTTTTTTTAAGGACCATCAGACCAATAAACCAGGATTTTTAGAAAATATTTTTTCAAGGATAAATGGACAATCAACGGCGTATTTTTAAAAATACTCTTCTAAAGACCAACAGAGCAATGAACATGGATTTTTAAAAATTGTGTTTTCAACAACCAACAAACCAATAAACGTGATTTTTTAAAGAAGATTTTCTAAGGACCCCTCGAGCATTAAATGTGGATTTTTAAAAAATATTTTTTACAAAATTATTTATCAAAAAAAAAAAAAAAATAATAATAATAATAATAATAATAATAATAATAATAATAATAATAATAATAATAATAATAATAATAATAATAATAATATAATAATAATAATAATAATAATAATAATAATAATAATAATAATAATAATAATAATAATAATAATAATAATATAATAATAATAATAATAATAATAATAATAATAATAATAATACTAATACTAATAATAATAATAATAATAATAATAATAATAATAATAATAATAATAATACTAATAATAATAATAATAATAATAATAATAATAATAATAATAATAATAATAATAATAATAATAATAATAATAATAATCATACTAATAATAATAATAATAATACTAATACTAATAATAATAATAATAATAATAATAATAATAATAATAATAATAATAATAATAATAATAATAATAATAATAATAATAATAATAATAATAATAATAATAATAATAATAATAATACTAATAATAATAATACTAATAATAATAATAATAATAATAATACTAATACTAATAATAATAATAATAATAATAATAATAATAATAATAATAATAATAATAATAATAATACTAATAATAATAATAATAATAATAATACTAATAATAATAATAATAATAATAATAATAATAATAATAATAATAATAATAATAATAATAATAATAATAATAATAATAATAATAATAATAATAATAATAATAATAATAATAATAATAATAATAATAATAATAATAATAATAATAATACTAATAATAATAATAATACTAATAATAATAATAATAATAATAATAATAATAATAATAATAATAATAATAATAATAATAATAATAATACTAATACTAATACTAATAATAATAATAATAATAATAATAATAATAATAATAATAATAATAATAATAATAATAATAATAATAATAATAATAATAATAATAATAATAATAATAATACTAATTGTTAGCGGGAGAATCAAATTCTAGAACTTGTTTGTTCGTTTGTCAGTTTAATTCTAATTTTATTGAACAAAATGTATTACTTAAGTGCTAGTACACAACAGAAATCTTAGGGGGGTTTAATCTTATGCATCTACTTAAGGCTACAAACACTTGACATTTCTAATTCTATGCATAGGCCTAATGCAACACACAATTGCTGTGATCTATATTTACTCCCCAGCTGAGCGCATGTTTATGGGAGAATATTCTTTATTATCAATGCGTCTCCAGCAGCATGAAGTGTTATCATCCCTTATGCTCTTATCTTTCATGCACACACATTTACAAGTACTCTAGAATGTTGGGTTAAAATTACATAAACATTTTATAGCCTAAATCACTTAACGATCTAATTTATTGCAGCAGTCTTTCATGTTCATAGTTTTATGAACATTTTCCCGGGCGGCAAATAATTTATTTAGACATCCTGGCCTCGGGGAAATTGAATTTCGGTTATGCGTTTTAATTTTTTCTGTCTTCTTATAAATAAAATAATTAGAATTATTATTACTATAATTACTAAAATAAAAGCTACGTGTGATGAGATGTGATGGAACTTCAAGCCTCGCAATTCCACATTTTCTTTCTTCAACTTGTCCACGAATTTCTTTAGCTCGTCAATTTCTTGATGATGATTGATAAGTATATTTCCAAGGGGTTTGATTGATTCTTTTTCGTCCGGACTTACATCCTTCAAAAGAAACGAATGGAATTCTGTGTTTATCTCGTTATGAACTCTATGCACAGCTACCAACGTTACTTTACCGATCCTCGCTGTACAGTCTGCATCCAGCGTGAGAATTCCTTGCTTTGGAAGTTCCATAATCGTCTGTTGTTTGTGAGAGCATTGCAAATGAGCTGTTGTACTTGAAAAGGTTTTAAAAAGCCAATTGCCATTTCGTTTCAATGGCATCCAATAAGGCATTCGTTCCACTTCGTCATAGGCGCAGTTTAGTTTTATGTGCGGTCTCAGAGGAGATAATTCACAATTATTTGTAGTTGCATCTCTCCATGGAAAATTCTCTTCGCACATTATCTCCTTACCCAACGTCTCTTTGCACTCATTCAGCATAGGCTGTGTTAAGAAATGAAAAGAATCCAGCTCAAAATTATATACAATGTACGGGGAATTCACCCGGGCTATCAATATCGTATTTCCTTCTTCAAATGGTATCGGAATTACTTTGTAAAACTGGGATGACTGCCGATTGAACAGCGGTATTTTTATATTAATTACCAGTTGGGACCCCACAAACGATCCGTGGCACGTCATCAAATGTAAGATCTCTTTTAATTCCATTCCTGTACGCTTTCCTGGCAGTACATATTTTTCAGGCAGAGCATCTCGTATTTTTACTATCTCTGCTTGTAATTGTTTGGGTGTTATCAGGACGGGATGAAACTTACCGCTGTTTACATCAATTAATGCATCAACAACTTCTTTTTGGACTTCGTCACATTCTTCCAAAAGCTCATGAATTTGTTTTGCTATTATAAAGAATCGTATGGATTCTCTATACACGAAGTAATTCTCATTCATTGTAGCACTTATGTTCTCAATTTTGCCTTTGATATCCGAAAAGTGCGAATTCACTTCCTCTGTGGTTTTCCTTAAAAGATTTACTGTAGCGTCGACTACAGATGTCTGTTGTTTTGCTAACTTCTTCAAATCCTTTTGGTTGGCTAATAGATTTTTCATATTGCTCTCCATAGCTACTCGATCGTCATCGTCCATTATCCCAAATGCCCAGTGTTGAAACGAACCTACAAATTTCAACGGAGCTCCTCTTTTTTGACGATTGTCTTCTCTGAGGAATAATCGATTGTTGGTCTTTATCTTATTAATCTTGAGTTCCATATTGTTAATCGTGGACCAACACTGCTCCTCAAAAGTTTGAAGTCGTGGGCATAAGCTTTTGATGTTTTCAGCAATTCGGAAGCCAGGTCTAATGTTTCTAAATATGGTTTCAGCTCAAAGTACACAACCATATTCCATGATGAGGAAACCATGTGAATTTGAGACATGGGATCCAAATATACCGCAGCCGAACTATTCAGTTCATGTACAGATGATGCCTTGGTAGATATTAGTAAAAATAAGTTCAGCATCATTGCCCACGTTATTGGTTGTTTCCTTATTTTTCGCTCACATCTTGTCATATTAGTATGTGTAATTTCCGCCTGTTTTTCCTGTCTGGGCAATTCTTCAGATTCCTCGTCCATATGCTCCAATGGACATAATTTGTTAATTGGCCTCTTTATCACGCCGTCTTGTGTTTTAACTGTCACAATCCTTACAACTCCGTCCTTCCCTGGATGGACTTCTACCACCTTGGCCAGTGGCCATCGCGCCGCGTGCGTTTCTTCGTTTTTCAATATCACCACATTGCCTATTTCCACATTATTATTTTGTTTCTTCCATTTCATTCGGTTTTGTAATGTGGTTAGATACTCCTCTTTCCATCTGCTCCAAAAATGACTTTTAATTCGTTGTAGCAGTTTCCATCTATTAAGACATCCTAAGTTACCTTCATCGATAGTCGCCGGTGATTCTAACATCGGACGGCCAATTAAGAAATGTCCAGGTGTTAAAGTGTCAATATATTCTGTACCGCTTCCAAGTTCATGTAGCGGCCTCGAATTTAATACTGCTTCAATCTGAGATAGCACCGTACTCAACTCCTCGTAAGTCAATTTCGTATCACCAATTATTCTTTTTAGGTGATATTTCATGGACTTCACTGCTGCTTCCCAAATTCCTCCAACGTGAGGAGCTGCCGGCGGAATGAAATGCCAACTTATTTTTTCATTTTCCAAAATGGGAGCTAACTTCGTGTTGTTTTTAACGGCATCCAAAAAGTCTCTGTCAAGCTGCCTTGCTGCCCCTACGAAGTTCGTTCCGTTGTCTGAATATAAGTCGGTTGATTTTCCTCTTCTCGCGAAAAATCGCCTTAGCGCCGCCAGAAATGCTTCCGTTGTAAGTTCGCTGACAGCTTCCAAATGAACCGCCTTAGTTACCATGCATACGAACACCGCTACGTAACCCTTCATAGCCTTCACTCCTCTTGTTTTGGAGCACCGTATTTGTAGCGGACCCGCATAATCAATGCCACAGTGTTGAAAGGGTTGATTTATACTGACACGGTAAGCTGGTAAATTTCCCATCAATTGATTTCGCACTTCACCTCTAAAGCGCGTACATCTTGGACAACACCTAATGCAAAGTTTTATCCTATTTTTAGCTCCAATAATCCAATATTTTCGTCTTAGTATATTTTCCATAAGTCGATTTCCTCCATGCATCGTTTGAATATGACAATTTCGAATGATATTTCCCGCTAATCTTGACTTTTGAATAATTATTGGATGCTTTTGGTTATAGTTCAGCTCTGACAAAGCAAGTCTTCCACCAACCCGCATTATGCCATTTCGATCCAACTGTGGATGTAGTGAAGCTATTTTACTTTGATGATCCACCGTTCCCAATGTCTTCAATTTCCTTAGTTCCACTGGCCATTCTCTTTCTTGATGTAGTTTTATTATCTCCATCTCTGCTTCTTCCAACTCTTTTGCCGTCAAATGCTCATTTACTGCTCGCTTCTTTTTTAGCCCTTTTATAAAACGCAGTAGATAAGCCATTACACGTATCTGTTTCTTAAATGACGAATACTTCATCATACTTTCATATAAGTGGTTTTCAGTCGAAAACTTTACTGTTGTTGCTACTGTTTGATTTATGTTGCTTTTTGGCCAATCTTGTTCATCTTTTTTCAGCCATTCGGGGCCTTCCCACCACAATGTATTGTTTGTCAAAGTCTCCGGTGGGACACCCCTTGAACCCATATCTGCTGGATTCTCCTTTGACTTGACGTAGCCCCATTTCGCTTCGGGTATTCTCTCCAAAATATCCATCACCCTTGTTTTTATGAACTTATCCTTGTTTTTGGAGTTGTGAATCCATGCCAAGGAAATCATGGAATCACTCCAAGCAAAAGTTGGTGTTGCTGACTTCAATACTCCTTTGATCTTCTGTAGTAGTTTAGCCAATAGATGTGTTGCACAAAGTTCCAGCTTTGGAAGCGTCTTCCTATTTTTTACTGGATTTACCTTACTTTTTGCAGCCACTATGGTCACCTGCGAATTTACCTTAAGGTATACGACTGCTGCATAAGCCTTCTCGGAAGCATCTGCAAACCCATGTAACTGTGCAGTTTTGTCTTCCAATATTCCAAACCATCTTGGAATCCTTAAATTTTCTAAAGCAGGCAGACTGTATGTAAACTGCCGCCAATCTCCACTCAATTTCTCCTCCAATGGCACATCCCATTCTATTTGTTGTATCCATAACTGCTGTATAAATAGTTTTGCTGTTACCGTGACTGGCGTCAGCCAACCTAATGGATCGAATATTTGTGCCAGTCTTGACAATGCTATTCGTTTTGTCAACTTGTCTTCTTTTTTAATTTGCATACTAAATGTAAAGCAATCGATCTGTGGATTCCATTGTAATCCCAATGTTTTCAAGCATTCATCTTCTTCTATTCTCAGCACTTCATTTTCTTCATTCAATTTCACCGCACTCAATACTTCAGGAGAGTTTGATATCCATTTTCTTAAATGAAACCCATAATCCTCCAGTTGCAGCGTTATCTTCTTCTGCACCTCCCTGCATTCTTGTTTTGTATTCGCTCCTGTTAAAAGGTCGTCCATGTAGAAATCTTCTTTGATCCTCTGAGCGATTTCTTGATTTTGGCACCTATTTCCAATTTCTATGAGCGATCTTACAGCCAGAAATGGTGCTGATGCAGTGCCATATGTTACCGTAGTAAGTTTATATTGTTGGATAGGCTCCGACGGATTACTCCTCCACAACACATGTTGGTATTCCTGGTCTTCTTTTTCAACTTTAATCTGACGAAACATTTTCTCCACATCAGCTGAGATGACAAACTTCCACGATCTCCACTTTGTTACAATGTCAAATATATCTTTTTGAAGCCTTGGTCCCACGTGAAGTATGTCATTCAGCGACTTCCCATTTGAAGTTGTCGATGAAGCATCAAATACCACTCTAACTTTTGTGGTTAGACTTGTTTCACGTACCACTGCTTGGTGCGGCATATAATACAAAGCCTTCTTACTTGGATCCACCTTTACCATTTGGCCCATGGATATGAGCTCGTTCATTGTTTTCTCGTACTCTGACTTTAATTCCGCATTATTTTCTAATCTTTTTTCCAAGTTTATAAACCTCGCCATGGCTCTTTTATATGAATCTCCCAAATCTTTTTCTTCAATTAACGGCAAACGCACGACAAATCTTCCTGAATTGTCTCGGCGTGTTGTGTCTTCATATAACTTAAGGCAGTATTCGTCTTCTTCGGTCGTTTTTTCATCTTCTATTTCCTCTATTTCCCAGAACCTCTCAATTGTTGTTGTTGCTGCCGATTCTTTATGTTCAATCCAGGATTTACTACTACTGTTCCAGATAAAATCCAACCCAACTTCGTATTTTGTCCCACAATTTGCTCATCGTGGCGAACTCCTTCTTCCAATATTTGTGAGTAAAGATCGGCTCCAATGACTAAATCGATTCTTTCCGGGCTGTTGAAATTTGGATCTGCCAAATTTACATTTCTCCATTTATCCACGTCATATTGAAACCTTCTGTCGGGATGTGCTGATGCAAGTGCTGGAAGGACTAGTGCTTCTGCCTTAATCATTATGTTGCTCAAAAATCTGGGTCGTAGTTCCAGTGCAACTTTAGATTTCGCCACGCCAACTAGGGTCTCTCCTAGACCTTGTAACCTCACTTCTGTCTTCTTCCTTGGTAGCTGCAACAGTTGAGCCGCGTCCTCTGATATGGATGTAATTTGTGATCCTTGGTCTATCAGCGCTTTGACTGTTACAAATTCTCCATGCAGTGATTTTATACGAACTTGGGCTGTTGCTAGCAGAACATTTGTTGTTGTATTGGTGGTCATTGCTTTCGTATGTCCTCTTCGCTCTAAATGCATCACTGTGATGTGATTCATTCCACACTTCTGGCATTTAATTTCATTGTAACATTTTTTATCCTTGTTGTGGCTTAAGCATCTGAGGCAGACCTGTGCTGATCTTGCCCAATTGTATCTTTCATTCGAAGATAACGCCGAAAATTTTCTGCACCATGCGATATCATGTCCGCTCATTTTACAGAACTTACATTGTTTTAATTCCGCTACCACTGCTGATTTTTCTTGGAGTTTGTACAGTCCTATGTTATTGTGTTTTCTGCCTACTGAAGCTTCCAAGGCTTGAAACTGCTGCTCCAGGAAGTCCATCACATCCTCAAGTTTTTGGATGTCCTTGGATTTCTTTACATTCTGCTCATAAAGAATAAGCCCATCCTTATCCAGTTTCCGTATAATTATTCGGGCTAAAATGGGATCCGCTTGCTCTAGGGGAATATCCATTGCTTTCAACGCCTGAATACTTTCATTTACATTGTCCAGCAAATTTCTTATGCTTATTGCTGACAGGCTGTTGATGTTTTGATGGTCCAGTATTCTATCTACCAATTTAGTGAATAAAATTCTCCTGTTGCCATATCTTTTTTCCAGTAATTCCCATGCTGCTTCATAATTTGCCTCGGTCACTTGAAGATGTTGCACCAAGCGAAATGCCTCTCCTTTTAGATTTGTCTTGAGGTAGTACAGTTTTTGAACTTTTGATAATTTGGAGTTTTCATCAATCATCTTTTTAAATAAATCGTGAAATGAACTCCACTCTTCCACATGACCACTAAAGGATGGTATTTGAACTCTTTTTAGTTCT